TCAACCCACAGTCAAATAAGATTGAAATCACATCAATCAGCAAATAACATTGCAAGGCTTACAATAAGGCTGACCCAGGCTTAAGGAAAAGCACAACCAATTACGGTCAACTTTTAAGTTTCCAGAAGAGTAAAACGAGTAAAATGATTCGCTAAATACTGGTCGCCCATTAATGCCTTTCTAAAATAATCTTACTTGCTTACATAGTCCATGCTTCGGAATAGTTTCTATCAAATGAGAAATACTAATTGTTTGAGGAAAGATACCCCAATCAGTTGGAAAAAGAGCTAACAAACCAAATGAATTCATTTGCATATCTTTCTGATACACATGTTCGCATGTTGCATTATTTAATGAATTTTTAATTATAGTATCAACGTTATTTGTTATTTGCGCTGGTCAAATTGCATCAATATTTTCCACTACCATAGGTGATTCAAAGTCAAAAAGAGAAACATTGTGTTTAGTGAATTGACTTAAATGGGTGGATGTATAATTTGCAAAATAAATTGGTCAACAGATCCGATGACACCGGAGGGGGGCTAGGGGACACGACTTGACTCAAGTCGTTTGCATTTTGAAAAGGCGACTTATGCATTTTTTTTTCTTTCCATTTTGCAGCCACTGATTGATATAACCTTTTCATCTAAAGTATTCCAATGTGAGTTTAATAAATGTGTACAACTAAAGTGTAGTTGTACACATTCTGTTGCAACTAGAACATGTACAACGTTCTTGTTGAACGTGTCAATGTAGTTATTTCAAACTAACTATATTAAATTTACCACAAGGGATTATTCTGCCTAAATTAATAAATTAAATTGTTTACTTAATACAAATTCACTATCAAAAAATTTTTCAAAAAATATATATCAAATAATCAAAGAACAGTTTTTTTATTTGTAATTATCTTTTATATAAAATTTCATTACTTTGTAAATTATTGAAAGTTTGAAATTTAATGTTTTTGTAAAACTTATTTCTTCGAATTTAAAAGTTGCGCCACGGCTGCTCAATCTCAATAAAATAATACATCAACTTGAAATATGAGAACCAGTTTGGTATGAATCTACTAATTCTTTTTCACTCATTTTCATCAAAAAATTCTTTTTCTCTGGCTCGCAATCCTTTTCTACGTTTTTTCTCTGCATTTATGAACTTTTTATCCATTCGACTAATGCGCAAATTATCTAACTTTGTTACCCTTTGAAATTTTTCCTTTTAAGCCAAAGTGTTCTGAAACCTTCAGTATTCTTTTCCGCCCATCATAAAAATAAATAACAGCTGAATTTACACCCATTTTTATGGTTTCCCTGCCAAAAAATACAGTTTTTGGTAAATTTTCGTAAATATTACAAAGTATTATAACTTATCAGTTTATTTATCTGTCTGATTTATGATTGTGACTTCAAAATATAATATTTAGGCCGCTAAAGATATATAGCAGATACACCTCAGTATATGTTCAGAGTAAAATAAGACATATATTATGAGAGGAAAATAAAGAATAAACTTCTGTTCATGGTAACTAGGAACTAAAAATAGCAGAGCTGCCGAGAGCTGTCACGTCGCCTGGGACAGCAATCCTGATTGGCACACTTATTTATCAAATTAGATATGAAGGACCTTTTTTTATTATTATTTTAGGTTCCTACATTTCATTTGGCACCCCTTGGATATCTGTCGCCCGGGACAAACTGTCCCTCGCAACCTCTCCTCTCGGCGGCTCTGAAAAATAGACATATCAAAGACATAAAGGTTTTTGACAGCTGTAAGTTTGTATAACATATACACTGAGAAGCTACTCGAAACTATAAAAAATGATGAAATTGTTGGTACTACTATATATGGAAACTTGACTTGTGTTGTAGCTTATGCTGACGACATCATTCTTCTCGGCTCTACTCTCTCAGGCCTAAAAAAACTTATTTCAACGTGCAACAGGTACAACAGTTTAAACGGGATAAAACTTAATGCTTTCAAAACGGAACTTTTGCTCTCTGGAAAAAGACAAATAACGAACTGCACAATATCTCTAGACAACCATCAAATTATATTTCGTGAGAAACTTAATCATCTCGTTTTTACATGGGATACAAAAAAATCAATTTTTGCTTCACTAAATAGAATGAATATTGATAGTAGGGTATCAAATTTCTGGGCAACAGTGCAAACTCTTATTCAATCTGGAATCCGTTTGCGCCGACACACTTGGAAGGAACGCAGTTAAATCAATTTTTTATGTCTCTAAGTATAGTAAAAACTATATACACTCTCTATTTAAAATTAAGAAGATGTCAAATTACATACACCAAAACAAAATAAATCTTTTTATCCGCTTTTTAAACAATAAAGTAACCTTTGAAATTATTAACTCCCAACTTAACTACTGTTCAGCTAAATTTTATTTTTTAGATGATATAAAAGAATTATGTGATAATCATAAACTGAATATGAAAACCTTAAAGATGGTTAAAAAAAAAGTAAAACTTAAAGTCTTAGAGGACGTAGTTCCTGAAGCTACTCTTTATATTTTGGTACACGCGGTTCAATGTTGGAATGTAAAAGAATAGCGAACAATTTTAAAAAAGACACTTAAAGAAAACATTCCTAAATAATACTTTTTTTTTATCTCTTTTTCTTAGTATAAGTTTTTACCTTGTATATTTATATTACAGAGAGTGATTAATAAAATATTAATAATAATAATAAAAAAAAACTCTGAAAAAAAGACATAAATGATCAAAATAAAATTTACAACTTTTTTTTATCATTTATTTGCATCCCTGCCACCTTAACTGAAACTTTCCTGTTAAAATATTTAGAGGCTTTTTATTGCTTGGGGCACCTGGAATATGTCCACTCTGTGGTCTCATATGGTTGTTACACTACTTTTTTTATTTAATTTTATTTAGGTGTCCCAAAAAGTCCTTACGGTCTTATCACAGAGCGCATTTAATTAAAAGATAAGCATTTAATTAAAAGTTCTTGCCTCCTTCCTAACCGATGTTGCAAAACAAAAAAAATGTGGGTTTTAAACCATGGATTCTTTGTTTCTGTGACGAGTGTGCAACCTCTGCTCTATGACTACTGTATACATATACAGTAAACTACCGGTAATAAGAACTTACTTCGAGTAACTGAAAATCCTCATTATAGTGACTTTTTACAATCAAATAGGAAAAAAAAGTTTAAGGAGCCCCAACAAGTCCTAACAGTTTTGTTTCGGAGTACAAAAGAATTGCATTTAACTAAGAAGTTCACGCCTCCTTCTATACCGACGGCGAAAAACATGCCCAAGCACGCGTCAAACCCTGGAGCGCCTGCTTCTGATGCAAGCACGCTAATTATTGTTCCGCGTCTGCTAAATTTCGATTTTAACAAGAATAGAGAGAAAAAAGGAAGAAAAACGGAATAAGATGGAATAAGATGCTGCTTCATTTATTATTTTACTAGTCTTTTACTTGTAAAATAATAAATTTTTTACAAATTTTTAAAAAAGTCAACCATTTTCCATAATTTTTTTGTTTTTAAAATAACGAATTTATTAAAAAAATTTTGAAAAAACATTTTCAATTGCTTTTTTTGTATACTTTAAAATTAAAATATATCGCATTTATAAATGTAAACAAGTGAAGTAAAAAATCTTTTTCATTTGGTTAATGACTTCTAGTATATTTAAAAACATCGTGGCTTTTCTGCCTTTACAATTATCAACATAGGCAACCTTTCGCCAAACCTATTTCCTACTGCTAGACCTGTTAAACGAACTTTGCTAAATATTCTCCATGTACATTGTTCACGTTTTATATATAAGATTTTTGTCGGAAGCTGTTGATAAAATAAATCAAACTAATCAGTCAATGATGTGTCCACCAATTCATAAATTTTGTTCACGTGCGTTTATAAACTATTTATAAACTTTCCAAAAATTAATTTTTGTCTCTTCGCTCTAAGTTGACCACCCTCATACTTACTGTATCTTCTTTAGGATGAATTCAGTAAATTAAAGTGTTTTGAGGAGCACTAAATTTTCTGCTGCATTCTTTTTAGTTAACCATTTTTCAAATCTTTAAGAGCTAGATATTTTTCTTTGATTCTCAGTACTGTCTTCTTTCATGTAATTTCCATATTGAAACTTTCACTGCACTACGCTTAATGTTTGCTATTTTTTTAACACTTTGATAACTTTATTTTACAATAACTGCAGGTTCCAAAAACTGATGGAGATTTGTATAAATTCAAGAAAAATTCTTTGGTAATGAAAACTTCTTCGAAAATTTAAATTCGGCAAATTGAAATTTCGAAATTCCGCAATTCGAAAATTCGAATTCGGCAGAAAATTCGAACAATATGTGTATATATATATATATATATATTTATATATATATATATATATATATATATATATATATATATATATATATATATATATATATATATATATATATATATATATATATATATATATATATATATATATATATATATATGTATGTATGTATATATGTATATATATATACACACATATATATATATATACACACACACACACACACACATATATATATATATATATATATATATATATATATATATATATATATATATATATATATATATATATATATATATATATATATTTTACTATCAAAGGGGCAAGATGATAAGATGTATTGTCTTCTGCTTGCTCCTGTCAGAATTTAAAAAATATATTTTATTTTATTTTTATTTTACAAGTACATTGTAAAATTTTCTTTTCTTTTTTGTTCATTGACGAAATATATATTGATTGATTGAATATATATATATATATATATATATATATATATATATATATATATATATATATATATATATATATATATATATATATATATATATATATATATATACATATATATATATATATATATATATAATTGAACTCAATATCTTAGTTTTTTAGTTTTTATTTTGTTTGCTTATCTTTATTATATAATAAATATTAACAAAAAGTATTTATAGTCGTATCTATGAAAGTTTCAATTAAAAATATTGAAAAGTCAACAAAAAAAATGCTTGAGGTAAGTGTTGAATATTCAAAACACTTTATTGTAAGCAAATCTGAAAAAGTTTATTGCCACATTTCATGCAAACCTTAGAAGCAATAACACTAAACTGGTCTTTTAATTGAGAAAAGGAATCAATATATTTTTCTATTTCTGTTTTTTTATCGCCAAGGCACCAAGCAAAGCTAACATGAAAAGAGGGCTCCTTGTAATAAATGTCTAAACCGAATTCTTTAAATACTTTATCAACACTATCAGTTATTTCTTTGAGTTTTGAATAACCTGAGTTGATTTCCACTCCAATAAAAGTTCTAGTTTTTTCATCATTTACATAAACTTTAATATTCAAAAAACTATAAGTAAATGAATGCTGAGGGATACAATCTTTGAGCTTTGAATATAATGGTTCCATCCAATAATGCCTGATAGGTACGGTTCGAGATAAACTGATGTGACACTCATCAAGCTGGAAAAACGTTAAACTTAAATCCTTGAAGGTATGTACAAGATAATTGTAAAGAGATAAAGTATTGGAATTAATAGTTAAAGGAGTAAAAACATATGTCGGCCAGTTTCCTTCAAAATGTTCAAATGTCCTCACCTTATTAGGTAACTTTTTATTCAATTGGCTGCTAGTAGATAAGTTTGCAACCAATTTGATACTAGATGACGCTATATCGATATTCTGTGAGGAAAACATTTTTTGTATTGATATTGGAACTGGTAATGGAATTATTTTATTACAATTTTGACTTGAATTCTTTAAATCTATTATTTTTCTTTTTTTCTTGGTATTAACTATATTCGATTGCACATCTGTTTTTTTTGTTTCAAATTTTTCATTTTGCATTTCATCTGCAGATTCATTTTCACTATCGGAATAACTCACTAAACCAGACATTACTAAAATCACATCTTTATATAATAAAATAAATATAAAATGGAATTAGATTAAGAAATTGTTATATATATATATATATATATATATATATATATATATATATATGCATATACATATATATATATATATATATATATATATATATATATATATATATATATATATATATATATATATATATATATATATATATATATCTGTATGTGTGTGTGTATGTGTGTGTGTGTATGTGTGTGTTAAAATATTTTTAAGAAAAACACGATATTTTTCAATCTTAACATGTTTTGTAGTTTACATACTACATTTTCAAAAGATAAAATTACAATTTAAAATTACAGAGTAATATTAACAAATAAAATTGTTACAAACCAATAAAATTATAATACAAATTATGATACTTTACTTTCAGAAAATTTATCAATTTTAAAAATTGGTTTGCATTGTATAAATTTATTCTGGTATCTTTTTGCCAACCTCAGCCATAATTATTCATCTTATTATTTAAAGCAAAAATTGTTGTTTATCTTGTTTTAAGCTTAAACTTCAAAAAACTCTCAATTTGTGAATTAGCAGTAGTGTAATAATGTGTAAATAACAAAAATTTGGTATTTATTATTTGTTTAACTTTAATCTAGTAATTCAAATTACTATTAATTTGATCAAGTTAAAAGATTAAGTTGAAAGTTTCTAGTATTAAGCAAAAAACTTTTTTGCTCAATAGGTTTTATAGTGTCCAACACTAACAATATTTGTGCTCTTTATCACTTAAAGTATAAAGTAATGATTTTTTGATATTCTATGTTAGTAACATAATGGGTGTTCACTTGAAATCCGGACTGACTTCAAGTCAATATAAATCTGACATAATGTATTGCAATTGTACCATGTGATACATTATTTTAAAGCATTTAAATTTAGCTTTAATATGCTACATTTATATTAAGATTGAATGATTATTCAAATTGAAAATGAAACCTAAACAAGACGACACTCGAAAACGTGTGTACAACTTCTATATTGAAAATAAAGAAAAAGGCAAAATGTACACCCTAGATCATTTTGAAAAAGAAAAAATTGCCAGATCGACCATCTATGATATAATTAAACATGCTGATGACGATTCTGGATATCTTAGACATCCTGGTTCAGGAAAAAAAGCTCTAAAAATGACCCAAAAAAAAGTACAAGCGTTAAAATCAATGTTTGATCATCATGATGGCGTTTCTTATAGGAAAGCAGGTAGAAAATTTAGAATATCAGCTTCTTATGCCCATAAAATTATTCAGACAAAATCAAAGATCAAGAAAAGAAAGAAGAAAAAGATTCCACATCGAACTGATGATCAAAAACTGATGGCAAAAACAAAGTGTGGTAGATTATATCGAGCTTTTAGCAAATTTGATTGGATCATTGATGATGAATCTTATTTTACTCTTTCTCATTCATCAATCAACGGAAACGATAACTTCTACACAAGTGACATAAACCTCTGCCCATCTAGTGTCAAATATTATACAAAGCGAAAGTATGAACCCAAGCTCCTGGTCTGGGTAGCCTTTTCTGTAAAAGGAATGTCAAAAATTCTAATACGTCAAAGTGGTCTTGCAATCAATCAAAAAATCTACTTAGAAGATTGTAATAAGAAACGTCTTATTCCTTTTATTAAAGAGCATCATCTAGACAGTCAATTCGTATTTTGGCCAGATCTGGCGACGTCTCATTATGCTAAATCTGTTCAAGCTTATTTAAATGGACAAAACGTCAGATTTGTACCAAAAGAAGATAACCCTGCAAATGTACGAGAAGCAAGACCTATTGAGGATTTTTGGTCAATAATAAAAGGTTTAGTTTACAAGGATAATTGGCAAGCAGAAAATTTAGAACAACTAAGGAAAAGGATAGTGTATTGCTTCAGCAAAGTTGATATCAATCTTGTACAAGAGTTTGCAAAGGGTATTTTATCAAGAATTGATTCTATAAGAAGAAAAAATTTAATTGAAAATAAATAAACTATCATATTATAGAGAATTAAATGCTGATTTTAAATCATATTTTATTTTTTTAAGTTGATAAAAAATAAGGGAGTTATGACCCTTTAAAGTCAGTCCGGATTTCAAGTGAACACCCGTTACATTATCAAAAAAAAAAATTATTACTTTATTATAAAGTAATCAATTTTAATTTATTATCAAGTAATGATTTTTTTGATAATGTATGTTACTAACATACATTAATAATTAAATCATTACTTTATTCTTCAAGTAACAAAAAACATTAACATTCTTAGAGAAATATAAAGTTTTTACTTCAAGTGATAACGAAAAATAATTCATAAGAAGTGTAATAAAATATCTTATCTAGTTAGGGTAACAGGGGGCATTAAGCCCATACTTTCAAGAACTTCTATTTTCTCTCTTTGAAATAAATAAATAAATATTAAATTCAAACTGGAAATATTTTTTATAGACAACACATATTTCTATATGAACAAAAGCTTTATCCAGAAAAACTTAAAGTCATATAGTGAAAAAGTTACAATTTTACAATGCTGACTCAAATTTTACAATGCTGACTCAAATTTAGTGTTTTTAGTGCTAATCAAAGTTAGTAAATTTACTCAAATGCTGACTCATTATTTACAATGCTGACTCTAATTTTACAATGCTGACTCAAATTAAATACAAAATTTACAATGCTGACTCAAATTTTAAACAATGGGGGCAATAAGCTCAATTATATAAAACATATATTTTTACATCATTTTTGAACACTTCTCACAGATCTTGTCCATTGCTTCACTATCAGCTCCGTCTGGAACTTCTGTGCAATTTAACATAGTATTAAACATTGTAATGTTTAATACCATGTTAAATTGCACAGAAGTTCCAGACGGAGCTGATAGTGAAGCAATGGACTGTGCTATCACTTATGTGAAGTCATAGCGCACAAATTCTTCTTATTGACCTCTGTGAATACCACATTTTAGACACAGTGTCATCAACTTCATCACTGTCCCTATCATCTCAGGCTGGAAGATTTCTTTTTTTTTTTTGCTGTAGTCTTTTTTCTTGGAGCATTATCTTTTTTTACTGCTTTTTCTCTTTATGCAGGTGCTGATGATAAAGATGATGATTTTGTTGATGATGCTGCAGATGACTATGATGTTGAAAGCAATACAGGTAGTATTGATTTTAAGGCAGAAATTGTGAGCACTAGTGCTGGAAAGTACTTTTAATAGTGCTTGGATTTCTGGTTAGCAGACATCTGCTTACATATGATTTATATGAATTGTAGCCATGTGTCATTGTCTGGCTAGTTGCATAGATTTTCCTGCTTTGTTTCTTATTCTTTTTGTATGCCCAAACCACTCTGCTAAATAAAGGGGGCAAAGCTCCATTATCAAAACTATATTTAAAGAAAAGTTTAAACTATTTCTACAAATAAATAACTTTCCTTTACAATTTAAACATTATCTGTGTAATGTTTATAAAATTAAAACATAAATTTTATTTATCTGATCAATGTTATTTGATTGTTTTAATCACTTGGTATTAAGCTCCTGCTAATTAAAACATATATTTAAATAAACTAAATAAACTAATTAATATTCAATAGAACCATATTTCTCTTAGAAAATCTATACATTTATAATCTTAAATAGAAATTTATTATTAAAGTGAATTTTAGAGCTATTTATAAGCAATCTCTTAGACATTCATCCAACTGCCATTTTACTTTGCTAAAATTTCTAACTTCATTTGCTCTACAAATATCAGTATTTTAACTCATTGATAACATACACAGATAGTTAAAAACTTAAAAAAATACTTACTTAGTTTATATGTACTTGTATTTGTATGGAAAATATAAAATTTTCAATGTAGAAATAATTTCTTTAGTCAAAGCAAACAAGCACTTGCTTTTATTTAAGTTTTTTATTAAGTTTGAAAGAAACTAGAAACTGGATGGAAAAACCACTCATCAATGAATTCTAATTAAAAATCAATGTGGTTGTTTAGAAACCCCAATATGGTTATAAAAATTTTTCTAATTCGTCACTAACCAATTAGAAAACCACTACTGGTTACTAACCAATTAGACTAACCAGGTTAGTCTCTATCACGTAGAACTTAATGCCCCTTCCTCTTATTACAATAGCACCAGCCTTTTCATTATATGAACAGAGAAAATGGGCTTAATACCTCCTATTACCCTATATATCCCGCATAACTCCTGCATAAAAATATAATGCATAAAAAATTCGATAAATATCCTGCATAAAAAAATCGAAATACACAGACGCGTTTAGAAACCAAAATAAAGTAATAAAATAAACTATAAAGTAATAGCATTTAGTGCACCTATGCGGTCCGGAAATAAACATTGTTTAGTTGGTCCTACTCACGTGGTCACGTGATTTTTTTTTCCTTTCCTTTCCTGTTTCCATAAAAAAACGAATGACCTTTATATTATTAATATCATTGCGATAGATAATGCGATCTTGTAGCATCTTTAATTTATAAACGCTATATGATTACACAATCTATCAAGATAAAGCACAGTAGCGTAGCAACGAATAGTCGCGAAGGGGCATATTCTAAAGGAAGTCCACATAATAAAAATCTTACTCGTACAAGAATTTTTTGACCATTGTTTAACATACTAGCGTCAAGGTTGCCGGTTTAAATTCTCCTTATGATGATTTTGATTTTTTAATTTCAATATTTTATTTTTAAGTAGTTTTATGTTTTTTAATCGTTTTTGTTGTTTATTTATAGCTATGTTTAGTTATTATTATCTTTTAATTTCATAGAATAAGTGCACCAATGCGTACATGAATCGACTAATTTAACTGTAATCACATTGGAGTATACACACATCGACTATTTTAAATAGGGATGGGCGCAGTGAAGTGTACTTAGATTGACTGAGAGTTTAGGTTTGGGCAGGCATTCTTGAATATAAAATAGAAAAGTATTTTATTATTAATTTAAATAGGGTTTATAAACTAACTTAATTTATATT